GGGCTTACACACAGAAATCTATTTCCTCACAGTTCTGGGGACTGGAAGTCTAAGATCAGGGTGCCAGCAGGGTCGGTCTCTGGTGAGGACTCTCCTCTTGTGTTGCAGACAGCCGCCTTCTTGCTGTGTCCTCACATGGCCTTTCCTTGGTACATGAAGGTGGAGAGAGAGAGAGAGAACTAGCTCTCTGGTGTCTCCTCCCATAAAGACACTATTCCCACCATGAGAACCCACCCTCATGACCTCATCTAAACCCAATTACCTCCCAAAGGCCCACCTTGAAATATAATAACATGGGGGTTTGGGGCTTCAACATATGAATTGGGGTGGGGGGAGCACTCATTCAGTCCATAACATTTTCTTACACAGGGATGGGAATATCTGTTTCTTAATGCTGCACTTTCCAGCCCTCAGTTGTGGGATGGGGCTCTGTGGGTAGCCTGGGCCAGCTGGTTAGAAGCAGAAGTGCCGTGTCATTTCCAGCAAAAAGCATGCAAGTGCTGATGCAGGACTCTCCGGGGTGGCCCTCCCCTCTGCCTCAGTTGCCGTTGAGTCTTAGTCAAGGACAGCTGGGACAGGGTTCCTGACAGCCCGCAGTGGCATGAGCCTGAGCAGGAAATGAGCTCCTCAAGCTGGAGATTGACAGCTGCCACAGCACAAGCTAGCCACTCCCGACTGAGACAAGAGTGTGTTTGTTTCTCCACAGTTTTCCGAACGTTAACAAATCCAGTCACGGTTTTTACTACTTCCTGAGACAATTTTGGTAATGCATTTATTTTTCTAGAAGATAATCCATTGCAGTGAGAATTTAGAGTGATCACCACACAACTTTATTCATTTGGTAAACAAGACTTTATCAGAGCCTGTTATACATGAGGCCTACCCTAGGCACTGGAAAGAGTGCAGTAAACAAGCCATGTGTTCTGTCCTCATCTCTTTAACATATTAACTATTAAACTCTTCACTTGTTTGGAATATAAAGGCACTTCATTCCCAGGCCCCATTCAGTTCCCGGCACTGCAGTAAAGTGCCTGCCAGGCACTTGTTAGGGAATAGAAAACAGACACCTCACAGCTCAGTGATCTTGAAAATTCCCTTGGGAGAAGCAGCATTTCTGGAGGATGACTAGAAGGTGTGAAGCCTGACCACACACTTGCATAACCAGACGTCACCTGCAACAGTCTCTGCTCCTGCAGTCCACTCCTGCCTGTGACCACTAGGCTGCAGAAATCAGCTCTTCCTTGGGTTTGCCCCAGAGGAGCAACAGTGGATTGAATGGCCCCCCAAAGTCATTGAAGCTTAATCCCCACTGTAACTGTTAAAGGTGAAAATCCTATTACTGTAATTGAAAGGCAGGGCCTTGAAGAGAAGATTAGATTGTAGGATCGTGCCCGAGTGAATGGATTAATGGGGGTCCTGGGCGTGGTTCTGAGGGCTTTAAAAGGAGAGCATGTGAGAATCTCTCTCTCTGCTCGGTCATTCTGCCATGTGAGACCCCTGCGTTACTGCCAAGGAAGACCCTTACCAGGTGTGTTTCCTGGACTTAAAAATTACCCAGTTTTAGGTATTTATATTATATGCAACAGAAACAGACTAATACAGGGGCCATTTCCACAAAGCATAGGGGACCGTGAGGAATGGTTGATTTTGGAGGACAGAAGGGGTGGGGAGCTTCCACCACACTCCTACATTTTCCCCCAAGGACTGTTCCCTATTCTGCCCTGCAGGGTCACACCTCCTTCCTCCCCACTTCATTCCCCCACACATTCTGAATTCCTCCTCCCTTTATGTAGAACAATTCTATGACCATCTTTTGATGGTCCCTGAAAAGACGTCTGGCGAATTCCAGTTTCTCCTGTCTTATCATGTTTGCATGAAGCCAGATCAACAAAGCACTACAGATCTGGACCAAGCGTGCTAGCTGCCCATGGCACACTCCCGCCCCCGGGAGAGTTGCTTGCTCTGGTGGTGGCGTAACGTGCACTCGGCCTGCCTCGGGAAGGTCCAGAGCCAGCCGTGTATGACTTACCTCTCTATGATGAGTAGTATAAGACAGCAGTCATTAGATTACAAAACATATTTTTAGGAGGACTCGTAATATGAATTTATTACTCTACTAGGAACAGTTGTCCTCCAGAAAAAAATAGTTTGTTCCTATCATATGGACACTGTGAATTAGGCCACTGGTCCGGTTTCCTTGCACCCTGGTGGCTAGAAAGTCTGAGCTAAATTGTGGCCCGACTTTAGAAGGCTATGATTAGAAAGTTTCGATACTAACTGCACTCCTGATTTTATCTTACTACCACTTTCCTCTTGGCCTCCGTTCGCTCATGCAATTTTTATTTTGTTTATTATATTTTTAAGCCACTTAACCTCTTCTATTAACATGGTGAAACATAAATGCACTTAAAAGTCACAAAAAGGTGGTAATAAAAGCTTATCTCTTGTGATTGTCTAATTGTAGGTCACCCCAGGTGGAATGCACCTCCATGATGTTGGGACTCAGGCTTCCTCCAGCCCCCACCCCCCAAGTGCTGCCCATATCTGCAGGGTTAGACAATGGCCCCCAGCACGTGCACTGTGTCTGCTTCCAGCCAGCCCAGGGGAGGGAAGGAGGAAAGGCAACAGAGTGACCCATCCTTTAAAGGGCATGTGTCCACAGTTCACAAACCCCTTCCCCTCGCATCCCATTGACTAGAACTTGGTCCCTGGACCATCACCTGGCTGCAAAGGAGGCTGGGAAACTGAGTCTTTCTCCTGGGCAGCCTTTGTCCAGATAAAATAGGGAGTTCTATGACTTAAGAAAAATGGGAACAGAGAAAGGAAATTGGGGGATACTAGTAGTTTTATGTTCCATACCTTCTGGTTTCGGGAGAATTCTTGAAAGGGGGAGAAAGATAGAAAGCTAGGATTCCGGTCTTGCACATCTAAGCCTGAGGTCTCAAGCACAGCTGTGGGCACCCTGCTAAAGCCAAGCTCTTTGTGTGTATGCCTGAAGAGGGGAGAAACATGCTCCTTGGCTCTACTTGTGTTTGCATGGCCTGTGTTTGAGGCTTTCCCTGCTCATCTGCCATGTAGGGATGTTATGGGGAAGCCAGGGCTGACCCCTTGGGGAAACTGGGCTGGAATCCACCTCTGTCTTATAGACAGGAGCTAAGATGGTTGGCCACAGGCTGAGGGTCAGTTGCATTAGCTCCGACTCAGCTGTTGATGCCCCGAGCCTGGGGGTGTTTGAAACAAAACAACTGGAAGTCAGGAAAGGGCAGAGGTGGGACTTGTCTGCTCAGTGTACGTGTCCTGTGCTGAGGTGAGTCCACACCCCTGGAAGGCTTCCTCTCAGGAAACGGCCACCCCCCCACACCAGTCATCATGCAGATGGTCAGTTCTGAGGCAGCACAGCCCCGAGGGCTTTAAGCAAAGTGAAAGCTTGTCTCTTCCCTTCTGTAGCAACAAGCGTTGGGCTGCGGGCAGGGCGAGTGGGCCCTGCTGCTGGGAGGAGGGTGAGAAACAGGCAAGGGCTGGGGTCTGGGCTTCCGGACCCTGAGTGGCCACATGGAGTGGGGGCTCGCTTTTCCTGGACCTCTAGGAAGACCTTGTGAGGAGTTGCAGCCTGATCACAGGGTGCGTGGAGTATCAGGAGCAGGGCCTGCTGCACACTCAGGCTGAAATAGAGCCCCCTACACCCTCATAACGTATGCTATCTGCTTCTGTAGAATTGCATGCTTAATCTAAGCAACTCCATTTTACCCCATCTGACCTGCAGACTACCCCCCCTTCTGCATGAGAAACTGTTAACCTTCTCATAGAAACAAAAGCCGTTGCATAGAAACAGGAGCCATACACAGTAAACTATTACATGGGAACAGGAACCATACATGGTGAACTATTACATGGGAACAGGAAGCATACACAGTGAATGATTACATGGGAACAGGAGCCATGCACAATGAAAACTTGTATGCTTGATGGCTCGAACGGCTCATTTCTGGCCTCTGTACCCTAGCTCCCTAACTTGCTTTGTGCACCTGGACAAACCCACGTGCCAACAGGATGTAGTTTTTGCCTTTAAAAACCCCACAAGACCAAGGCCCCAGGCCGCCCTTCCTTGGTTGCTCCTTGGGAGACAGTCGCTGGCCAGCTGGAGTGAATAAACTGCCCTTTCCTGCACAAGTGGCGTGGAAGTGCGTTTCTTGTGGGAGGGGGCCTCACAACAAGGTGGAGAAGCCCTGGGGAGAGAGAGCTGCCCCCAAAGGAGAAGCAGGTGCCCGCAGGGCAACTAAGGCTTGACAAAAAGAGAAGGCTGTGGGGACCGATCTGGGACACTCCAGCACTTAGGGGTCTCTGCAGGAAGTGGGGGCTTCCAAGTCCGCATAATCTGGGAAGTATGGGGAACAGTTTCATAGATGCTGTGTATCCTTGGGCAATTGAACCTCTTTGCCTCGATTTCCTCATTTTTGGATTGGGATAAAAATAGTTCCTCACCGGGATAATGAGCATTAAATGAGATAAGTGTGCACAGAGGATCTGGAGCCTGCCTGCTGCAGTTAGCACTCAGCACGTTGTTGTCATGTCGCTGTTATCGTCCCTCACAAGGCGAGGTCTGGACACACCTTCCACAAGAGGATACTCTCAACAGAAGAGCAAGAGTGATGGAGGAAGCCAGGGGCTGCGATCAGCCAAGGCTGAGCCTGCGCTGCCTGAGAGGGTGCGGCGGGCCTGGCCGCATTTGCTGAGGGAGCCTGAGCAGCATCACAGCCTGATCCCGCTTCCTCCCGTGTGTGTCTCCCAAGGGTTACCCCAAACCTCTAGCACCCATAACTCCGTCTCATACCTGCCAAAACTCCATTTCCTCCTATGTCTCTCCCCAGGGAGTCCGGCCTGCCAAAGACACGCAACAGCGCTCCTGACCAGGACTCGGGGTGACCACATGACTCCTGGGGCCACCCAGGAGCACCCCCAGATGGAGAGCAGCCACGGGTGTAGGCAGCCTCTGCTCAGAATTTTTTTTTTTTTTTTTTTTGGTGGCTGCATTTATTTGCCCTGGGGCCACCCCTCACTCAGCCAAGGGCAGCTTCTGATTGGACAGAGGGTGTCCAGGCGCAGACAGGGGGTGCACTGGGGAGGGAGGGGCCACCAGGCCACCTGAGGCAGCCCCAGCTGGGGAAGGCAGGTCAGGGTTGTGTGGGATGAGGAGGCACCAGCCAGATGGGGTCTTTCCTCTCTCGGAGGCCTTTGTTCAGTACTCAAAAGTCACCGTCTTGACCCGCAGGTACTCGTTCAGGGCCGCCTCTCCTGCAAGACACCACACATCACTGAGGCATATCGTGGTCACAGTGGCTCCTCCTGTGGATCGGACACTGTCCCCAGCACTGCCACTGTATCTTCTCACCCAAACCCTGGAACCACTACGTGGTGGATGGCCTGGCTCATCCCATTACAGATGAGAAACTGAGGCCCAGGGAGGCAACATACCCGACCCAGGTTGTTGGGAGAATTAAGGTTTACAGTCTTTTCAGGCTTCAGAGGCATCGCTAGGCCTCTGACTGATGTGCCAGACTCAGAAACTGTGTGCAGGTGTGCGGGATGGGTGCTTGGTAACCGTCAGATAAGAAGGAAAGTAACTCCTGGAGCTTCTTGGACCGTGGGAACCTGGCCAGTTCCCAGGGCCGAAGAACATCCCAAAGACTTGGGAGAAAAGATCCAAGTGTTCATGAAATAACCACAGCTTCATGTTTGCACACAGACTGATGTTATCAGTCTGCGGCTGGGTCACATAAGCAGGATTTCCCCAAACCGCTCTCTGAAGACTCGTCCTTGGAGTGGACGCACTGCCCAGGACAATCCCAACTGGGATTCCCCAGAACTGCTTGGATCTGGATGGAGGTGTTTCCCCAATTTGGTGATGTGAACACTGTTTAACTCTTTTTCTCTTCTTTTTTAAAATATGCATAATCTCGCTTTCTTTGCTTACTTGCTTATTGCTATACCTTAATAAACACCATAAACTGGTTTATTAGTGTGATGAGTGGTTTCTTTTACCAACAAATCCTTTGAATCTAAATGAAAGTAAAAACTTTTGACAAAACACAGGTACCGCTGGCTGTGGGCGGCGGCGCCAGGACTCGAATGCAGGTGTCAGAATACAGAACCAATCTGGGTCAACGGTTCTAGAACCTTCCCCAGCTCCCACCACCTCCTCATAACATGGCCGGGGGCCAGAGGTCACCATCAGGCCAAGGGAAGCCTGGAGGCCGTCCATTACCTGGACATGCCTCCTCTGCCCACTGCTGCTCCAGCTAGCTCTGGATTAAGCTGTGGCTGGGAAAAGGGACGCCTCTCAGGACCCTGAAGACCCCTGGAGCTTGGCTGTGCTATGTGGCCAGTGCATCCTGGCTCTGTGCCCAGCATGTGTGGCCCGTGACTGCCTGACAGTTCCCCACCAGGTGCAGCTGGCCCTGGGAGCAGCACCTCCCCAAATGCTGTGGCTGCACCCCTCTGAGGTCTCTGGGCCCGTCAGGTGGGCTGTTTGGAGTGCTCCATTTGCAGACCTGTTGCAGGGAGGGTGCTGGTCCTCTCCACGCAGGGACTGGAGTACGGAGGCAGCTGGGGGTCTCGGGGGAAAGAGTCACAAGTGAACGAGGTCATATCCTAGGGACTGGGCAGCCACAGCCTCCCCTGGGAGGTGATGGGCCTGGGAGGTGGCAGGAGGCAGTGGCAGACAAGGACAGGGGAGCAGGAGGGCCCAGCCTGCACACGCAAGGTGAGAGTAAGGTGCCCCGTGTGCACGCGTGTGCGGTCACAGTGTGTATGCGGCGTCAGATGGCACGATGTTGTTCAGGCTCCCTTCACAAGCACCCTTGGGGTTTTCTACAGGTTCAAAATGTGGGGGAAGGAAAAATGACATTGTGACGCCCTTGATTCCAGCCTCAGCTTGGCCCTCCCTGTGGTCTCTGAGCTGGCACAGGAGCCTGACAAGGAAGGTTGAGGCCTCTAAGAGACAGCACACTGCTCTCCCCAGTCCCAGCCGGCCACGCCCGCCACACTTGCCCGTTGGACCCAGCTAGTCCCTAGCTGTTGGCCTCCACGGTGGCAGGGTGGAGCGAGCAGGAGGCCTGAGTGATGAAACAGAACTGCTCCTACCCACGTGCCTGTGAGCACCAGGGACCACCCGCTGCTGCCATGGTGACATCCTCTCTACACTGGAGGTCTCACAACGCCCACCGGACCCTGGGCACACTCACTCCGAGGTTGAAGCCTGAGCCCTTTGCCCCCACCACTGAGGCTTCTTCTCCCTCCCCTGGCCCAGGCCCACATCAACCACATGAGCCTCTTTGCAGCTCCACTTCCAAAGCCAGTTCCCCTCAGGGGAACGTTCCAGGAACGTGTGCCCTGGGTCTTTATGGCCAGCTCCTCCTCACACCCAGGTCTCCTCGGAGAGGCTGTGCCTGCCCTGGCAAGTGTCCTCTTCCAGGCCACTTCTCCTGGCTCCTCCCGCACTCCTGCCTCTCCGCAAGCATCTTGCTCACTGACAATGACCATGTGTCCTCATCCTTCCCCAGTAAGAAGTGAGCACCCGACAGCCATCCTGTTCAGTGCTGCACCCTGCACCTGGAACCTTTAACCCATGTTTGTTGAATGAATAAATGAAAGCACTGCACAGGCAGGGTTAGATTACCCAGGTCTTTGCCAAATCCAGACTGCTTGAATCCTCCGAAGGGAGCGGCCACATCAGTCTTGTTGTATGTGTTGACAAACACAGTGCCTGCCTGGAGTTTGTCACTGACATACAGGGCCTTGCTGATGTCCCTGGTGAAGACGCCAGAGGCCAGGCCAAATTCCGTGGCATTGGCCCGAGACAGCACGGTGTCCACGTCCCTGTAGGGAAATCCAGGAAGAACTCCCTGAGAGAGGATCAGAGGGGCCCAGCCCTGGACGTGGGAGCCCCGCCAACTGCAAGCTCCCTGCCACACAAGACCCTCACAGGAGACGAGTGTGCAGGACACAGAAGGTCGGGACAGAGAAGAGCAAGGAACGAGGGAGGGGAGAAGAGCAGGGCAGGGTCGCAAATGGCCAACGACAAGGACCTTTCAGATCAGCAGGGGAGGCCCTCACTTTATGGAGAGGGGCACGGGAGCCCAGGGAGGGGGCAGGCTGAACCCACCCTACACAGAAGAGCACGAACCCCCCCACTGGGGCAGGTGGGGCATTCACCAGACATCAGAGGTTTGAGGATTCATGACAATATTTACTCGGTAGATGTCACTAAAGCCTCCTATTCTGATATGATCAGCATATGATGATAATTTCAATATTTTTGACAGTGGGGAGTAAAATGTGAGGATGAGGGACTATTTTGAATCTGTTCAGAGGTGCTAGGTAGACAAGGGGCAGGCCTGAGAAATAGTACAGGAGAAGAGCCCACAGAAGATCGAGCACGGCCAGGGAAACCTTGTGCCCCTCCAGGGGCCAGAGGAGCCTAACTCCTCCTCTTTAAGCCCAGGCTGGCCTTGGTGACTTGCTTAACCAGTTGGATGTGGTGGAACGGCTGTGCTGGGATTTCAGATGCCAGATGGTGAGGAGCCTTGCAGCTTCCTCCTGGCCTCTGTGGGGGAGCCAGGTGCCCAGCCAGCACCCTGAGCCACCACTTGGAGAGCACCTCTGGGGAGGCCCGAGGAGGGCACAAGCAGAGCCCTGACCAAACTGTTGCTATTCTGAGCCACTCAGTTTCCGGGTGCTCTAGTACACAGCAATGCACCATTAGAACAGAACCCAACATGCTGCGAGAAACACAGAGAGACCCACGGAGAATGTGGCAAGGGAAGAGAGGGCGGAAGGGAACAGCCTCCTTTTCACAGTGCGACCTGAAGCCCGTCTGGCCACCGGGCTCTGCTCACAGGGCTACCAGACTCAGCGGTGGAGGAAGACTCAGCAGGAGGCCCAGGCTGTGTCCACAGCTCCCCCCGTCTGAGTTCCACTCCCTAAGCTCATGCAGAGACCCCGTAACACATGGAAAAGACTCAGCCCTTCAAGAGACATAAGCAGGATCCCTACCCATCAGCAAACCGAGAGATGATCATGATGGGCCCAAAGGACTCCTCCTTGGCTATGAACATGTGGTCCTCCACGTCCGTGAAGACAGTTGGTTCAAAGAAGAAACCTGCAGGGAAGACAGACCCTGGCTGTGGCACACAGGAAGGCACAGTCCCCCAGTGGTCCAGCCTCCCCACCCTGGCCAGGGCCCGGGTCACACAGGCCACTCGGTGACCTCTCCAGAAATGCGACGTCAGGGCTGCTCTGAGGCCATGGCCCATGCGCGGCTTTCCTGCCCCAGGCATATCCTTTGATGTGACCCCACAACCCTTTTAACTAATGCTATTGAGGCAGGAATTCACAGAGTTGGTGTGTGATAGTGCCGAGGCTCGAACCCGAGTCTGCCCAGTTCCAGTGCCACAGCCCATCACCACAACAAAGACCTGAGTTTTTCTAGGATGAGATTTCATCTGGAAACTTATCTAGATACTTCAGTGAGTGCAGCCTCCCAGACGCTTTACCTCCGTTCTGGCTGCCGCAGCCCATGGAGCAAGAGGGGATAGGCAGACAGAAGAGCTGTGGACACTGGTCCTGGCAACGGGGACTCCCGTGACTGCCTCCCTCCTCCTTCCTGGAACCTGGAAGCTGGACACTGATGCCCCACACATGGGGCGTGTGGTCTCTACCAGGACACAGTCAGGATGACACCTTGGTTTGTGTGGTGTGGCAACCACACCTGTGGCAGGTGCCCCGAGATAGTGGCAGCTGGTTCTCTCTCTTCCCCCTCCCAGTCATCCCCTGCTCTACGTCCTCACAGGGGACCGCATGCCCAGGCCCCTCATCCTCCCTTCCAGCAGGGCGTGGCCAACAGGAGGCAGCCCCCTTCCCATACTCTGCCCTCACTTTTCCAGGGATTCTGCTCCCTTCTGGGCCCCCTCTGGCCAGTGGGGGGTGGTGATGGCTCTCCGGTGTTCCTGACGCCTGGTGCTGCACCATCGCTCGCTGGCTCCCCTGGCCCTGCTCTGTGAACGGTGCCTTCATTATGCTCTCTCTGGTCAGTCCCTGAACCCTGCCTTCCATGCCCAGCTAGGGCCCTGGCAACCCTGTCCCTGGCTGTGTGGAACTCCCAGTCTGGTGGTGCAGGAAAGGGGTGAGCAGACAGGGGCAGCACCCAGTCTAAAAGCTCAGGAGGTGTGAAGTGCCAGGAGCACCTGTGACTAAGGAAGGCTGGGCTTGGACGGCGTTCCAGCTGAGTGATGAGCAGGAGCTCTCTAGGTGGGGACACTGGGGAGGGTTTGTAAGCACAGGAGCAGCAAGTGCACAGAGAACAAGACAGCACGTGCGGCACTGGGACAGAATGAAGTCTGCTGGGAGCACCAGACAAGTGCACGTCAGACCCAGATCGTGGAAGACCTGGGGCGCGAGGTCAGGGAGTCTGAACCCACTGCTGCTGCAGGACGACAGGTGCTGCTGAAGTGTCTGAACACTGGGGAAGAATTCCGGAGCTCTGGCAGCTGACAAGAAAAGGATCAACGGGGCTCACAAGGGCACTCAGGAGACTGTTGTGAGGTTCCTGGCAGGGCGAGGTACAAGGGCCACACAGTGGCAGCAGGGACACAGAGGAGGTGGGCCAGGAAAAATCAGACAATTCATTGAGAATGGGGGCTCAGAAAAGAGACAAGGCTGGGATCCACTTCTTTCTCTCCTCCATTCCATCAAGTAACAGTGCACCGCTGCTGTGCGAGGCTTAGGCTGGGCTGGAAGGGTCTCGTGGCGAAGACGGACGTGGTGCCTGTCCCCTCAGAGCAGGCGGTGTAATGGGGAAGCAGCATCAACTGTCCACCCCTGTGGCTCCTGCTCTTCTGGCTTGGGTGGCTCGATCAGATGGAGGATTCTAGAGAAGCAGGGTTGTGTGTCTGGGGACAGGGCAGGCTGCAGGCTGTGAGGACCTGAGTTTGAAGTGCCTGGGGCATATCCAGGCGGAGGCACGCAGTTGGCAGCTGGCTGTGTGGGCAGGAGTGGTGGGTGAGGTAGAGCCCTGTGTCCGGGAGGACCTGAGCCATGTTGGGGAGACCCTCCAGGCAAGGTGTCTGCTGAGATAAGTGCTCCATGCTAAAGACAGACCCGGGGACATGCCTGCATCGGAGGGACAGATGGAGGGGGAGTCTCCACCACAGAGCAATTGCTAAGGAGTAACGACCAAAGAGGTGAGAGGAAACCGTGAAATCAAGTGTCATGAAATCCAGGAGGAGTGAATTTCAAGGATACGGTGGTATTGATGGCAAATCAAAGTCTGGTACAATATAGATTAAAACCAGCACTGAATAGTGCTGTCAGTTCTCATGTCCTCTCCTTGCTAATCCCATACCTGGGTCTGGCAGGTGTCCAAACAGCCAAGGCCCACCCCGTGCAAGGTCCCAATGGGGCCTGAGGTCTGCAGCCTGACTGTGCAGGTGCCTGGTCTCAGCCATCACTCTTCACCAGGTAGAGCCGTGCAGGAAACCAGAGGCCGTCGCACCCGCTGCCTCAGTTTGCACAAGTGGCCCAGAAGTGTTGTGACTAACCTGGCCGAGGGACCTGACGCCCACCACAGACCAGCGTGGCCCCTTCCTCCACGCCACGCCGGCAGTACTCCACAAGCTTCTGCAGGTGGGCGTGATGGTTCTGGGGCCCGTGGTTGGTGTCCCTGTCCAGAGGGTTACCGATCTTCATCTTCCCCACCTCTTCTACCTGCAGAGAGTCCTCCAGTCAGGTCGTGTGTGGATGCCACCGCAGTGCCTGACGATGGCCATCACCTGACCCACCTCCCATGTCTGCACTTTCAGTGCCCACTACCGACCCCTGATGAGAGTCCACATTCCATATTCCAGCTCTCAGGGCTTTCCAAATGCTCGTTCCAAACCTACCTTTGAAACCCCAAATGTCTCCTATATGCAAAGGTACAAAAGTCTCCAAGACAGACAGGCTGGTAAATGGAGGAATGCAGGGATGTGGGTGAGTAGGAGGGAGGCAGGTGTGCGTGGTCAGTGAGGGAGGCAGGGCACAGCCCAGGCTGTGTGCGATGACAGTCCTGCACCAGCTTCCCACCCTGAGATGCTGAAGGAGCTCTTTGTCCAGGAACTCCGGGATGTGGGGCGTGGTCAGTGAGGGAGGCAGGGCACAGCCCAGGCTGTGTGCGATGACAGTCCTCACCAGCTTCCCACCCTGAGATGCTGAAGGAGCTCTTTGTCCAGGAACTCCGGGATGTGGGGTGGGGTGGGGAGACACCCATCCTGCTGCAGTAGCCCCGGGGTACAGAGTAGTACAGACACAGAGTGGAGGGGCCTGAGGCTTGAATCCACCCACCCCTGCCCCTAAAACCCATCTGTAAAGCCTCCTCCTCCAGGAAGCCTTCCCTGCTGCTCAGCCAGCGTAAGAGTTAGTCTAGGCTTTGCTGCCTCGAGTCTCCTCAGGGATGTGACAGGAGGGGTTGTCTAGTGATTCCGGAGCCTAAGGATGTGGAGAGTCAGAAGATGAACTGGAGTATGGGTCGATGTGTTAAAAACAAAAGCAAAAACTCTGCTGAACATAATCAGTGGTGAGGCAGGCGCCAGGTCCTCTGGGCTCCAGGCTGGAGTCAGCCCCTTCCTTTCTTGTCACCTCTCTCCCGGGCTCCTTCCTCGGTTTCCTAAGGTCAAACAAGGTCGTCTCCACCCTCATTCAAACTACATCGTGGTCAGGATGGGCTGGCCCCTCTACACCCCCTTCCCCGTCCTCTCCCTTCTCCCTCCTCCTGTCCCCCCTGGCCAGGGCCCCTTCACCCCATGGCAAACTCTGCACCCCCAGCCAGCCCTAATCAGATGCAGGCAGGTCTCAAGTACCCTGGGACCACCCTCTGCCCTTCCCACCAGCACCTCTGACAGTCCTGAGAGGGGTCTCTATCCCACCACCAAGCCCCTCTCTGCTTTGTTCCCCATCTCTGCTCCTGCCCTGGTCGTCCAGGCTGCTCCCCCGGCTCCCGAAGATGCAGAGAGCAACCTTAGTGAGTCTCCGGGATGCCCATCTCACTTCCTGTACTTGGGATTGTGACTATCTGGAGAATCACCCCTGGGGTTCTGGCCCCTGGGGTCATCCTGGGCAAGCTGACGACTCCCTGCAGACCCCCAGACAGGACTTCGGCTCACCCACCTCTGTGCCCCCATCCCCACCTCCAGCTGTCCACTGGCTCCCTAACAAGGGTACATTATACAGACAGACGCTTCTCCAGCAGCGCCTCCCATCTAGGGGTGGCGTCCGTTTCCCACCCATGAGTCTGGGCTGGCTCGTGACCTGCTTTGGCCAGCAGCATGTGGTGGGAGCAATGTTTGGGGAGATCCAAGAGGCGTCTCAGCTTCCACTCTCGCCCCTGGGCATCTGCAGCTGCCCCGATGAACAAGCCCAAGCACGAACTGCAGAAAGAAGGACCCCAGGAGCAGAGTCGGGCTGAGACTGGGGGGTGCCCCACTCAGGTGAAGCCTCCCAAAAGTTATATACAAGTGAGCAGTGGCCTTGGTCCCTCAGGCTGATGCTGACTTAGGCTCTGGGAATAGGACTCTCCAATTAGGGAGTTAGGGTTGACAGCCAGCAATCGAAGAGGGAGTGAGAGGCGGCCCTGGGCAGGACGGGAGCTTCCCTCAGTGATAAGAAGGACCATAAAACAGTCACTAGGTTTGGGGAACAAGAGACATTGTCAGCATACAGCAGTGAGATGTCTTTGCAGGACACAAACCAGAACCGCCCCAGCCCTCAGCACGTGCCCGTCAGAAGGAAGAGACTGATCAGAGCAGGGAGAGTGACGGTGAGAAGCACGAAGCTTTGTCCCTGGGGCCGAACTTACCACTTTCTGCACGAACTGGTCATGAATCGAGTCCTCTATGAAGAGCCGACCTGCTGCAATGCAGTTCTCCCCTTTGTTGAAGAAAACGGAGCTCATGCCCTTCGGAGAGTGGATGAGAATCCGGCTCACGACCCCTCCCAGGGGCTCCAGCCTCCAGCTCCCACCAGGCCTGGGCTACTCCTTCTCATGGGGAAGGGGTGACACACGTGTCCTGACCTCCTCCTGGGGGCCAGGCCCGGGTGGCGCTAGGCACCCATGCCCCCCTCAATCCTCAGCCACCTCGAGAGGAGACACAGGAGGTGACAGTGTAGGAAACGAGAACACGGGGGGACAGAGGCGAGCCCTGACTCCCACCGCTGCGGACAAGGCTGCTCTCCACAATGTAGAGATGGAGAACGGAGGGATGGCTTTAGTGCACCTGGGGCCGTGTGCACACCAGGTAGGCTCGTGGGTGCTCCAGGAGGTCTGACCCTCCTGCTGCACACTTGGGGGCTGAGTGGAGACGGGCCAGATGGTGCGTGTCAGCACAGAGCCGGTGGCAGGGTGACCGGGCGGGGGCGACGGCGGGCAGGGAGGAGCAGCCAGGCCCGAGGAAACTCCTGGCAGGAGTGCAGAATAAAGGCCCTCATAGGGACCAAGCGAGCCCGCTTGTGGGACTCGGGGAGCCCGAGGTGGGAAGGAGAACCAGGGTCAGCCCGGCTTTCTTGGAAGCTGGGACCGCACACCCCAATGACAGGGCACAGGGCTCTGGCCTAGCTCAAAGGCTCAGCAACACTGGCCTTGGCACTGGAGCCAAGACTCTAGGGCTCACGGGTTTCCTGGGGGACCATGAACAAAGTCCTTGCCTCCCTCAGTTTCCCCATCTAATGAAGCTGGACTCCCTCCTGTGTCCATGCTGCGGTGTCACGTCATCTGCCAAGGCAAAGTGGGACTTACATAAGGCACGGTTGGGCACCTGGTTGAACATGACCTTATGGTTTGCTCCCACAGGAGTGGAGAGGGGACCAAGGCATAACAGTGACAATGACTGTGACAATACTCAGGAGCCACAGCCGACACTTCTGCGGCACTTGCCACATGCAGCCGCTGTTCTAAGCCCTTCAGACATGTTGACCCACAGCAACCCTAGGAGGCAGGCACTCGCATTGTCCCACTGCACGGGGGGCAGCACCGAGGCCCAGAGAGGTCAGACAACTTGTCCGAGGCTGCCCCGCACACCAGCCCCCCTCAGCTGTCCCTCTCAGCCCCCGATGCCGTCCCCATCCCCCAGGCCTGGCCCTCACCATCTGCACAGCCTTGTTGAGGTCACAGTCAGCAAAGATGACAAGGGGCGACTTCCCGCCCAGCTCCAGGGAGACCTTCTTCACATTACTCAGGGCACAGCTGGAAGGGACAGAGGGTTGGTGCGGCTGACGCCTGGGAGCCCAGGAGCGAGAGGGTTCCCGGGGGGAGGGTGCAGCAGGTCCAAAGCGCACTGTGCTCCAGGGAGCGAGCTCGACCCAGCACCTTCTCCTGCCCACCCCCAGCCCCACCCCAGCCCGGCTCACTGCACCGTCCACGCGGCCCTGGCCCTGGGAGGCTGCGCTCAAAGGCCGTCCTGTCCCTCCAGCACCCGAGCACGCGCCCACCTCAGGCCTCTGCGCACACTGCCCGCCCCCACTTCCAGACTGCTCTTCCTTCTTCCAGTGTCCCCTTCTCAGGGGTGCCTCTCTGATCACCCGGATAAAGCCCCGACCCCGTCTGTGCACACTCCTGCTGCTCTTCACACTCCATGTGTCTGTGTCTCACTCCATCTGCCAGAACGTGAGCCGCACCAGGCAGGCACCTGTCTGTCCGCTTCCTGCCCCAACCCCAGTGCCTGGCACAGTGCCCGGAGCACAGCTGGCATCCAGAAAATGTTCAGTGAATGAATCAGAATCAGCATCATCACCCAGAGCAGCTGCACTGGCCATGGAGGTTTCAGCACCTTGGTTTTTAGCAACAGCGCAAACAGAGAGAAACTGGGAGTTGAGTGCACGTCGCATCGGTGGCAAGAAGCGCGCTCCCGTGGAACTGTCCTCGAGTGCATGCTCAGTCGACTGGGGCAGCCACGCACCAGGCAGGACCTGGGAGGTGGGGGCTCCTCTCAGGGCCAAAGGGGAGGAGGGCCCCTGTCTCAGGTGCCATCACGGGGCACACAGCTCAGACGTGACTAAAACCTATGCCACAGAGGAAGAGACCAGCTAGCTCAACGACCCGCTGTGACCACATGTGGCTACCACCCCCCATCTCCTCCCTGTCTGTCCTCAGGCCCCTCGCCCAAGGGCAATGCTGTGGCTCACTCTGTGCCAGGCCTGCAAGGCACAGCAGCCTGCCTGGTGTGCTCACAGATCCCTGAACCAAAGGGGGACGTCAGGTGAGGCCACCGTGATGGGTGCCCACTCAAGAATGGGAGATGCCCAGCCGGGCAGCTCTCAGAGGGACATGCAGGGCTGAGGGGCGGGACCCCTCCTGTGGGGAGGGGAGACAGGGGCTGCAGAAGGGTTCCAGGGAGAGAGAACACTGTTCCGCATTGGAAGCTACAACAGGGAGACCCTGTTTTAACACAAGAGCAGCCCTTCTCCCATGGATTTGTCGTGCAGCAGTTGGACCTTCATGGACATCACACAGGTGACCCCTAAAGCACGGACAAAGATGGGTAGTCATGTGTCCTTACAGAAATGTGACAGAGAGCCTGCAGGCCAGTGTGCTCAGCAGAACCCCGGCTCCTCTTGTTTGCACCATGATTCAAAGCATGCATATCAAAACCCACGCCCAGAAATCCAGCCTCAGTGGGGCAGAGGCTGAAGCGGGCCAGAGGTGGGCTGGGGGGACAGGCTGGGGCCAGAACTCGGCCTACAGGCGCTGCCCTGTGGCCTGGCCCATCTACCGCTCCCAGCTTACAAACCAGAACCCCTGAGCCTGTCGAACTAGCTCTGTGGAGCTGGTGGGAGAACGGAGGCCTCGGCTTGGCCCAGGTCATAGCGTGCCGGCCTACAGGCGCTGCCCTGTGGCCTGGCCCATCTACCGCTCCCAGCTTACAAACCAGAACCCCTGAGCCTGTTGAACTAGCTCTGTGGAGCTGGTGGGAGAACGGAGGCCTCGGCTTGGCCCAGGTCATAGCGTGAAGCAGTGACTCAGCCCAGTCAGTTTGAGGCTGAAGTCCAAGGAATGAGAGGGGAGAGGATGCGCTGTCTACAGAAAGGGAATGAAAGCCTCAATTACTAGCCACACTGTAATGGAAATTTTGTTGGTAGCACTTTAAAAGAAAACTGAAAGGACACAGGTGAAATTAACACTAATAATGTATCTTATTTGACGCAACTAATCAAAAACGTTATCGTTTTGATTTGTAATCAGTATAAAAATTACTAATGAGATACAGCAGTTCCCCCTTATCCACGGTTTTGCTTTTGGGCTTTTGGTTGCCCCACGTTGAACCATGACTGGAAAATATTACAGTATTTTGAGGGGGGGTTTGTGGGGAAGCAAGAGAGACCATATTGACGTAGCTGTTATTACTTTATGTTGCTATAATTGTTCTATTTTAGTGTTATTATTGTTAATCTCTTACTGTGCCTAATATATAAATTAAACTTTGTCACAGGTATATATGTGTAGGAAAGAACATAGCAGATAAAAGGTTTGGTACTAAGCACGGTTTCAGGCATCCACTGGGGTCTTAGAAGGTACCCTGTGGATGAGGGGGTCCTGTTGTCCTTTACTTTTTTGTGTGTGCTAAGTTTTAAACCCGTGTGCATTTTACACTCACAGTGCATCTCAATTCAGAACAGCCCCATTTCAAGTGCTCCGTAGCTGCGGGGGGCTGGTGGCCCCGTACTGGGCAGCGTGGTGCCAAAACCTTGCTGATCTAAGTGGGCTCTGCAGAGCAGCCACACAGGCCTCCCCCAAGGGCTGTCAGAAATGCGGACACTGAGTCAGCGTCTACATTGAATGTGGCCACCGGCAATGGCTGTCCACGCTGACACTTGAGAAGCAGGACCTAGCTCCCACAGCAGCGCCGTCCACTTTCAGACTCTGAACCAAGGCCACAGCCTCTGTGGCCAGTGGCACCCCCACCTCCTCAGCCCCTTACCTTTTCATGATTTGTTTTCCCACCTCCGTGGAGCCCGTGAACCCAATTTTCCTCACATCAGGATGGTCCGAGAGTTTCTGTCCGACCAGTGAGCCTACATGGGTGGGCGGGGGAGTCAAGTTGGCCCTGTGCTTCTGGGTGAAGCATGGACCCAGCCACGAGTCCCTGACAGGCCGCACTGAGGGCTGGAACTCTGGCTGCGCTCCCTGTGTGCTCAGTGCCCTCGGGGCCCAGGGCTCACTGGGCCTTGCTCCTGGTTATGGGCTGCATTGTGCCCTTCTCAAATTTAAATGTTGAAGTCCTAACCTACCCCATACCGCCATACGTGACTGTATCTGAAGATAGGGTCTTTACATAGGTGATTACTTTAATATGAGGACATTGGGGTGGACCCTAATCCATTATGACAGGTGACCTTCTAAGAAGAGGAGATTAGGACACAGACACACACAGACGGAAGGTCATGTGAGGAGACAGGGAGAAGATGCCCTCTACAAGCCAAGGAGAGAAGCCTCAGAGGGAACCAGCCCCGATGACACCTTCATCTCAGATGTCGAGCCACCAGAGCTGAGACACGTCTGCTGTTTCAGCCCCCATGCTGGGGTGCTTTGTGGCAGCCCCAGCAAACCAGTACATTTCCCATGCAGCTTTCCAGCTATCAGGGTGGACCCCCAAGGGCAAGATCACCCAGTTGTCCAGCTCTTGCAAGGCCTTCAGCAGAGACCCCAGAACAGCAGGCTGAGTCCACAGCAGATGAGGCGTCACAAGCTCACAGATGCCAAAGGCCTGCCCTGGGGGTGCAGCAGCCTTGGGGAGCCTCGGCACACACTGCTGCTCCTGGCTGCAGTGCTCTGCCTCCTAGTCACACCCTGTGGCCTCCCCAATCCACAGCCCACCCTGCACACAGCCCATCTCCCACCCTGGCCAATCCACTTCCTCCCTCCACGTCCATTCCAATGAGATCTCAGAGTGGGCTTCCCTGACATCAGACTCCTGGCGTCTGACTCTCTGCTCTCCTAATCTGCCTCCCGCTTCTCTGACTGCTCCTTCCATCTCCTCTGCTTGCCCAGCCTTAAAGTACCCAGTGCCCCTGGCTCCACCCTGGGCCCTCTGCTCCTCTGCTCTGTTTACACTGCTTCCTCAGCAGATCTCACCCAGGCCTTCAGATGCCATCTCCAGCTACATCATCCCCTAAATCTGTATCTCCAGCCTGGCTCCTCTGGAATCCAGACCCATTTATCACTCCTCTGCCTACTCGGCATCTGCACTAGGATGTCTTACAGCCTCTCAAATTCAACATATTTGAAACTAACCTCTTAGTCTTTCCCCCAGACATGCCCATCCTCCAGAGTTCTCCATTTCAGTAAACAACCTCTCCTTGCAGTCGGTTTGCTCAAGACAAGAACCCAGGAGTCATTCTCAACACCTCCCTTCCCTGTCCCGTGGATCTCCCAGTCCAGGGGCTCCTCCATCTACCCAGTCCTCATCCCCACCACTGCCCACCTCCAGCCTTGTAAAATTGGTGTGCCCGAGTGCACCTGTGAGGGTTCTGGCTCGGCAGGTTTGGTCCGAGATCCTTGCATCTTCCCTCTGTATGTAGTTAAAGCTCTACAGGATTTCGATACTAATTCCATTCTACCACTCCCTGTTAAATCAGTGTGGGGAAAATATTTGCAAAGGAAAATATTTATATATCTGATAAAGGACTGGTATGCAAAATATACAAAGAACTCTTAAAAATCAACAATAAGAAAAGAAACCCATTAAAAATGGTGAAAAGATATGAAAAGACAACTCACCAAAGAAAACATACAGATGGCAAATAAGAATCATAATCATTTTTCATTAGGGAATCACAAATTAAAACAATGAGATACCACCACACACCTATTATAATGGCCCAAATCCAGAACACTGACAACACCAGACGCTGGCACGGACGGGGAAGGGAGCAACAGAAACGTTCACTGATGCTGGAAACACAAACGGGCACAGCCACTCTGGAAAAGTGTGGCAGCTTCTTACAATGGAAACACTCTTACCAGTGATCCAGCAATTGCACTCCTTGGTATGCATCCAAAGGAGCTGAAAACTGATGTCCACACAAAAACCTGCACACAAACGTTTATAGCAGCTTTATCGTAATTGCCCAAACTTGTATGCAACCATGATGGCCATCTGCAGACAAGTGGATAAACAAACTGTGGTCCATCCAGGCAATGGAGGATTATTCAGTCTAAAAAGACATGAGCCGTCAAGCCATGAAAACACACAGAGGAACCCCACATTCATGTTATGTGAAAGAAGCCGCTGAAAAGGCTACATACTGTATGGTTCCAACTGTATCTTATTCTGAAAAAGGCAAAACTATGGAGACAGCACAATAATCAGTGGTCGTCAAGGGCTGGGGGAGGGAGGGACGGACAGGCTGAGCACGAGGATTTCCCGGGCAGTGAAACTGCTCTGTGTGGTCTCATCGTGGAGGACACAGGTCATCATATGTGTGTCCAAACCCACAGAACGTACAACACCAAGAAAGCCCTCAGATCAGTGGTTGTCAAGGGCTGGGGGAGGGAGGGACGGACAGGCTGAGCACGAGGATTTCCCGGGCAGTGAAACTGCTCTGTGTGGTCTCATCGTGGGGGACACAGGTCATCATATGTGTGTCCAAACCCACAGAACGTACAACACCAAGAAAGCCCTCATGTAAACTGTGGGCTCTGGGTGGCAACAAGGGCTCATCAATTGTAACAAATGCCCCACTTTGGTGGGTGATGTTGATAGTGGGGGAGGATGGGAGGAGACAGGGGGTATATAGGGATTTTTCTGGACTTGCTGCTCAATTTTGCTATCAATGTAAAACCTCTAAAAAACAAAGTCCATTTAATAATAAGGATAATAAAATCACTGTTTTTGGTTATCGAAAAAACATTTACAAGAAGGTGTCATATAGAAGGTTATAAAAAGTTCTCCATTTTACAAAGTAGAATTTTTACAGGCTATTATGGGTTTAATTGTGTCTCCCCAAAATTCATATGTTGGCATCCTAACCTCCAGTACCTCAGANATACTGTATGGTTCCAACTGTATCTTATTCTGAAAAAGGCAAAACTATGGAGACAGCACAATGATCAGTGGTTGTCAAGGGCTGGGGGAGGGAGGGACGGACAGGCTGAGCACGAGGATTTCCCGGGCAGTGAAACTGCTCTGTGTGGTCTCATCGTGGGGGACACAGGTCATCATATGTGTGTCCAAACCCACAGAACGTACAACACCAAGAAAGCCCTCATGTAAACTGTGGGCTCTGGGTGGCAACAAGGGCTCATCAATTGTAACAAATGCCCCACTTTGGTGGGTGATGTTGATAGTGGGGGAGGATGGGAGGAGACAGGGGGTATATAGGGATTTTTCTGGACTTGCTGCTCAATTTTGCTATCAATGTAAAACCTCTAAAAAACAAAGTCCATTTAATAATAAGGATAATAAAATCACTGTTTTTGGTTATCGAAAAAACATTTACAAGAAGGTGTCATATAGAAGGTTATAAAAAGTTCTCCATTTTACAAAGTAGAATTTTTACAGGCTATTATGGGTTTAATTGTGTCTCCCCAAAATTCATATGTTGGCATCCTAACCTCCAGTACCTCAGAATGTGGCCTTATTTGGGAACAGAGGCATTGCAGATTTAATTAGTTAAGATGAGGTCACTAGGGTGGGCCCTAATCCAATTTTAATCCTATAAAATGGGGAAATTGCACTGACACACTCACACGGGAAAGTCTCCATGCAGATCAGGATGATGCTTCCACAGGCCAGGAAGAGGCAAAGAAGGATTTTTTTGTGTAGAACCTTTAGAGGGAGCGTGGCTCTGCTGACACGTTGATTTCAGACTTCTAATCTACAGAACTGAGACAAATTTCTGTTGCATGTGCCACTCAGTTTGTGCTACTTTGTTACAGCAGCCCTGACAAACTAATATGCAAGCTGTATTCTCTTATCATGACATCATAAAAGTAGAAATATAAGAATAAAGGTTAGACAAAAAAACGTGTACATTTATTTTTTTTTTGTCTTTTTCCATGTCCGGCAACGGATCACAACCCTCAGTGTCGCCCCCGTACCGGACCGGGACCAGCAACGGGATCGCAACCCTCGGCGTTGCTCCCGCGCCTCGCTCAGCCAGTGAGCGGGAACCGGTCTGTATGTGGGATCCGAACCCTCGGCGGGAGCGCCGCCGCGCTTCCCAAGCGGCGCACTACAGCAGTGCGCCACCGGGCCGGCCCTAAAAAAAATCTTTTTACTTACTGGGTCAGAGAGAAGATCAAAACTACAATCATATATTATTTAAGAATAATAAAAACATGAACACAATATATTTAAAAGGTGGGAGGGGGCTTCTGGAAGTGGCTTGGGGAGCCCTATAGACAATTCCCCTGGGAAACAACCACATTGGTAAAAAATATTTTACAATAACCATTTAAGGTCTTTGGAAATTTTCCTAAGGGCATACAGCAAATGAGAAACATTTATTCAAGACCATCTACTGAATCTCACTAAGGGCAGTGTGAGTCTGAGGCACTTGAGCCCAGTCCAGCCCCCCCCAATTTCTCCCACTCTCCCACTTTCTGGAAGCTCCACTCCAGGCAGGGTGGCCAGGAGGGTGGGGCTCCCTGTCCTCCCAGCTCACAGCCCAGGAATGTGGCATCTCACCAGAAGGGGCAGGTCACCAGCATTTCTCATCTCCTCCAACTCTGAACTGCAGAGGCTAAATTCTTGGTGACTATGACTGAGAGGCTGGGGGCTCCCTTCTTCCACCCGGTCCCTGCTAGAGTGAAGACTCTAACCCAGGACTGGTAGGCTGAGAACTCTGGGACCTCATCCACCTGCCCCAGTTCCCCCACAGGAACCAGGGCCTCAAGGAATGGCTCAAAGATTTTGGTCATGGGGAGAGGCTGTTCATAAAAACAAGAGAGCTCCAAAGCACTTCCCATAGGAACTGATTCTATTTGAAACAGATGGGGAAGTTCAATCATAAGTACACTCTCAAACTCAATGGAGATTTTGGAGGTGAGGAATTAAGAGAAGTCTGATAGCTCTATGACAGCTGTCA